CCATCTTGTCGATGAGCTGGCGAAGAATCGTCAGGCAGCAGTTCGCGATGTCCAAGTCGTAAGTGTGCTCCGACAAAGCTCTGTGTTGGACTCTTCTTGGCGCGCACTGAGCACCTGCCTTTTTCGTATACCTGCGACTCCGAACTGTGCTTTTGCCGACGTAGTGGTACATCACATCCAGGGAATGGAGACCAGGGTCTTCCGGAACTGGTTCAGGAGCCGACTCGGTCTTGCCCGTCACACGTCTTCTCTTTGCCGCCTGGGGCAAATTGATGTAATACTCCAGAGAGGCTTCGTACTCTTTCATCTTCTGAAGTTTCTTCTCTAAGCCACTCTTCTCGGTCTTGGCAAATACACCGGGCCGTCCTTTGGCCTTCTTTTGGCATAATGCTTGCTTCAGGTAGTCGATGAGTACACTGACGTTGGATGCTCTCGCAGGAAACTTGTTCATATACTCTGCCAGGGATGCAACATTGTGCAGCTCCTGGAAAAGCAACCTGTTGGATCGAGAGACGTCGATGATGCTGCCCAGTGGCTTTTTGAATGTGATCAGAGGCATCAAGCCTCCAGGCCTTTCCTTATTGGTCTTGGTCGTCTTGAGCGTGCACTTCATCATGAACTTCTTGTTTTGCAGCTCGTCCCAGAGAGATGTCCTCGGAAGGTTCGGGATCGAGCACGAAAAGGCCATTGCCTTGAACTCATAGAAGGATAGAGAGTCCACCTGAGCCTCCAACATTTTCTGCGTGATGGCCTTCGTCAAATTATCCCACTCGGCTTTTCCTTGGTCGCGTTCCTCCTGTGAGTTCGAGCCTGCCAGGAGGTTGCCTACACCTGCGTCAGTGTCTTCTGTCTTTTGACGAATTGGCAAGGAACAAGCCGTTCGCATGGTGTCCTCTGTCAAGTAGTCGTCCCCGCTGCTTCAATGAGCTGGTAGCATTGCTCTTTGTTGAACTGCAGCTCGAATGCGTGTTGGAGACGAAGTCCAGCAATCGATGCCTGCGGGGACGCCAGGAACTTGCTGAGGGACGGATCGGCTTCAAAAATGCCCGCTTTCTCATGCCCCGGGTGACTCCGAAGATACTGCGAGGGAAGAAATCTGGCTTTTGCTTTCCACACCAGCGCACGACGCAGAATGGAATTAAAGTTTCCGATGTTGACACCAGCGAACATCATCATTCGATTCAGCTCCAATCTCTTCCTAGGCACACTTAAAGGCACGATAAACACACATACACCTGAGACGTAAGATCAAGTTTACAAAGCATGCTCGCAGCCGGGTGGCCATCCGCAGATCGAGAACATTCGCGTGGTGTACCCGTAAGGCTTCCTTCCCATGATGCCGTCAGCGCTCATAGTTTTTTTGTACAGATCCAAATGCAATTTTCGAGAGGACTCCGGGGCCTCTTGCCCCGTTATGACACAGCAGCGCGCAAATCCCTCCACTTGCTTGCGGAGTTCCTCGTCGTTATGCCAGACATTCGGGTCAAAGAAAGCATGATTGTTCCCAAACATTGCGGCCACATGCGAGGAGTAGAGGCTCTGGCCGACCCCGCCGGGGGATATGCCGATGAAACATCTGTCGATGTTGAGCCCCCTCTTCGCCAAGGCGGCTGCAGCCATACAGCATCTGAAAACGTCAAAGTTGCACCAGAATGTCTGTGAGTAGAACTTGCGTAGACGCTGCACGTTGTCCTCATGCACTGGATCTTTCAACGCGTGTGGAATCTTGATGTAACAGTCGTTAGAGGATGCTTTCGGAACGATCTTCAATGGTTTGTCAGGGTCGGCATCGTATCTGACACACAGATCTTGATAGCACAGGCAGCTCTGTCTTTGGTCCGGCGTCTCGCACCATTCCACCAGGAGGGATATCAGCTTGGTTTGCATCAGTTCGGATCGGAGGGCACACGAGATTTTCCAAACTCTATCAGCCACAGATACAGTCCAAGACTCTGGTCCATCTCCACCAACATCCTGC